GAAAGTCATATACATCTAGGATGGCTTGAGGGCGAGTAAATCATGGGGTAATTTTCAGTTTTGGGTGAACTTGTCAATGTCTGGTTGGTGTGCCCATGTAAGTTTCTCTGGACTTCAATTCCCATCACCCTTTGCTTTGACAGTCAAGTCTCATTTCATTCACCTGTGTCTCATTTACCTTGTTAACTTATCCTCATATAAGCCCGGTGTAGTGTTTCAAGTCCAGGTAAGCATGAAGAGTCAGATTCCAGAAGTTACAATTCAAAGATTTATTAGCATCAAAGGCCAACAGCAAACACAGCCTGCATGCCACATGGTTGCTCACATTCAATTATTCTTCTACACCTTTTATAGGTACCAACTTAGTAACCCATAGTGCCCTCTTCTGGTGAATCAATAATACAAGAACACAACATATTCCCCCATTACTTAAATCATACATTCCTCACTGAATCCCAAAATTTAAAGTTACCACAATATTTCCATATTATTCACATTAAACTACATCTTAATGAACAGCTTAGCAATACAGCATAACTGATTCTTAATATACCCATGGAACAATGCACCACTTTAATGCTAGTCACTTTTAAACTAAGTAACATAATCCTGCAGCCAACGTGGAGGTCGTCTTACACGTGCTGAAACTCTTTCAGGAGCAGTTGAAGGATCTGTAGGAAGAGGAACTTGAATGGGTGAGTTTGATAGTTCATTTTTAAACAACACTCCAGAGGGGGTAAACGTCTGAATTTTTGACGTACAGGTGCAACATTGGAAGAGATCTTTACCTTATGCAGGAAACCTTTTGCACATCCCAGTTTATCCACAGGCACTGAAGCAGAAAGGCCCATCACATGTGCTGGAGGTTGAGCAGATTTTATCGGAACAGAAGATCCTCCAAAGTTTAGATGCAGGCCATTAATTAAATCCATTCCAATGGCGTAGGAAATGAAGCAACTGCAGCCATCTTTCATTCATAAAGGTACCATCCTCGTCGCCAATTTTGTAGTGTTTCAAGTCCAGGTAAGCATGAAGAGTCAGATTCCAGAAGTTACAATTCAAAGATTTATTAGCATCAAAGGCCAACAGCAAACACAGCCTGCATGCCACATGGTTGCTCACATTCAATTATTCTTCTACACCTTTTATAGGTACCAACTTAGTAACCCATAGTGCCCTCTTCTGGTGAATCAATAATACAAGAACACAACACCCGGTTTTCTGTGTCTTTGGTTGGTGGTTTATTATTTTCTGTTATGTGTTTTGTGATGCTCTGTTTTGCCCTGATTTGGATTATTCTTTGTTATTGGATTTTTTTACAATAAATGCTGCATTTGGATCTGCTTGTTTTGGAGCATTCCGTGACAGAACAAACCAGCCATTTACAGATCCAGCAGCTAGACTGAGCTATCGACTTGTGGACCATGGGCATTCGAATACTTCCTCCTGTTTCGAAGAAGGAGCGGAAAGCTCGGCTTAGGATTTTGGCGGATCTTCGGCAACAGGGGATGCAAGTGGGTGGACTGGCACAGACTTTTTGGACATTGGTGGTAGGATTGGAACTTTGTAATTCTAAGCTCAGCAAGATTTTTAATGATTGCCTAGACCAGTGGTTCCCAAACCTGTCCTGGAGGACCCCCTGCCCGGCACATTTTGTATGTCTCCCTAATCAGACACACCCAATTTAGTTCTTGCAGTCTCTACTAACAAGCTGATGAGTGGAATCAGGTGTGTTAGATGACTGAGACATACAAAAGGTGCAGGGCAGGGGGGCCTCCAGGACCGGTTTGGGAACCACTGGCCTAGACAATCCCTTGCCTCCTTGGGAGATGGAGGGGCTTAAAACTCTCGACTTTGAGTTTCATTGATTATCTCTGTTACTGCAATTTAGTAGCATCATGTTGATCTGAGCCGATTGCAGTGACCCCGGACATACCCGAGTCTGCTCCAGCTGACAGTGAATCTTCACAGTCTCTGTCTCGCAAGTGAAGGTCAAGTAGGAAGAGGGCAGCAAAGACTACCCCGGTGGTTCTGAGTCTGGTGGTCCTGGAGGACTTGACTCCGGTGGCATCGAGTCTGGTGGTCCTGGAGGATCTGACTCCGGTGGTCCCAAGTCTGGTGGTCCTGGAGGACCCGACTTCGGTGATTTCAAGTCCGGTGGTCCTGGAGGACCTGACTCTGGTGGTCTCAAAGCTCACCACAGAACCGCCCAATTTCACTGCTGCTGCCATTATCATGAAGGCCGTCTTTGCCTTTGGCCTCTGGACTGTCCTGCGTGCTTGGAAGCATTCAGAGTCCACTCCAGAGCCCACTCCAGTCCGGGAGCCCTCAGAGTCCACTCCAGAACCCGCTCCAGTCCAGGAGTCCTCAGAGTCCACTCCGGAACCCACTCAATTCTATGAGTTCATTCCAGAGTTCGTTTCAGTCGATGAATCCACTCCAGAACTTACTGAAGTTTATGAGCTCACTCCTGGGCTCATTTCAGTCCAGGAGTCCACTACGGAGTCCTAGCTCCTAGTTCCTCCCGTGGTGGAGGTTTCTGTTGTGGAGCCTCTCAATGCGGCGGTGTCTGCTTCAGCTGCCCTCTGGGCGGTGGTAGTCACTCCTGAGCTCTCAGTCTGCCTTGTCGGGGCCAAGGAGAATGTTGTTGAACTATCTGCCTGCCCCGTCTTGGTCATGGAGACCGTTGCTGAACTGCCTGCCTGTTCCGTGACAGTCATCAAGGCAGTCACTAACCTGTCTATGCTCTTCTTTGCGCCCTGCCCTGCCCTGCCCTGCCCTGGCACCCTTGTCTGCCTCCTGAACTTTTGTGTTTTCTGGTGGAGCATCTGGTATCCACTCCTTAGAGGGGAGGTAATGTCAATGTCTGGTTGGTGTGCCCATGTAAGGCCACCAGAAGGCACGCTGCTTAATTGTTTGTTTCTCTGGACTTCAGTTCCCATCACCCTTTGCTTTGACAATCAAGTCTCATTTCATTCACCTGCGTCTCATTTACCTTGTTAACTTATCCTCATATAAGCCCGGTTTTCTGTGTCTTTGGTTGCTGGTTTATTATTTTCTGTTATGTGTTTTCTGATGCTCCGTTTTGCCCTGATTTGGATTATAATTTTGTTTTTGGATTTTTTACAATAAATGCTGCATTTGGATCTGCTTGTTTTGGAGCATTCCGTGACATAACTATCCCTTTAACAAGTTTAATCATTCTTCTGATAAATAAGTGTGCATAATTGTATTGAATTTGCACTTTTGTGCTTCAGATATTCAAAAAACTGTACTTCCAGATAATATACATAATATTAATTAAATAAAATTCACTTTAATGACCGTTTCGTAACACTGTAAGTACACTTTTAAAATGTATAATAATGTCAAAGTAAAAGTTTTACTTTAAAGTACATTTTAAATCTATGTTTTAATAATCGTTTGTTGTGCTTTAAAGAAGTACACTTATTTTGGTATTGATTAACACTAATTTTTGTAGATTTTTTTGTAGCTACGATGTAATTCAATATAATATTTAATATTAATGTCTTAAATTGCAACTTCATTATTACAAATGTTTAATATATTTAAATACATCACATGCAAGTATTACAAATAATACTACAGTATATTTTAGTTTTATCGTAAATGCTTGTCAGTACATACAGCAGTACACTTTAACCATATTTCAAAGACAATAGAATTATGAAATTACATTATTAAAGTTGTGCCAAAGTCTCAAATTGTTCAAAAAAAGCACTCTAATATAATTCCTTTTTATGTAGATTATTTCCATAAGAAGTCTTTGTAAAAGTATGCTGAAGTGTCATTTGCTAATATGATGAGGTCATGTGACAACAATTGTGCACATGTCCAGAATTACAATGCACATGTAATTCATTATTTTCTTGTTTACCACTGTAAAGCTGCTTTGAAGCAATCTGTATTGTATAAAGCGCTATAGAAATAAAGATGATTTGACTTGACTTAAATGTGGTAGGTCATCTCTAGGTTATTCTATTCTATACATAAATTTGCATACTCCGCACAGTACATGCTGCAGCAATATTAGTATTCTATTTCCATCTTCTGTCCCCTTTGGCTGATTTGGCCCCCTGTGGCTGATTACACATGCAAGAGTAGAGGAAAAAGCCTTTGTCTTACCCGCATGTTGTACAGTAGATGTGTAACTGTCATTCATAGTAAATGAAGGCGTCCGAGTCCTCAGAATAAGCAAACAAGTTTTTGAGAGAAGGACACTCACTGCTATGCCACTTAAAAATAGAATGTGCTGCTTAAATGATCTCATGTCTTGTAGAGGTGTGATAAGGGCTGCTTCTTCAACTCATTTAAGTATATCTCCAATAATGCTCTGAACATCCTGCCCTTAAACACACAGACGACTTTACAGATTGTGCAATAAAGTTTTGCAATCGAAGATGCATCATTACATCAGTGCATGCAAAGCCTGTAGGTTATTTTCCCTCATGTTTATTATTATATATTCTATTACACTGAATGCATTTTTTAATAATTATGGGAATATTTGAATAGTTCTAAATGGAAAAATATGTTTTTATCCTTTTCTGTTTATTATTTCTGATAATTTTACATGCATAATTCATTACGGCAAAAATAATATATATTATAATAATATAAATGTAATTACATTTCGCAAAAAAAAAAAAAAAACGAATACAACTTTGAATAAGATTGAATACATTTTTAACAGGTTTGGAGGCATATTTGAATCGTAAAGTGATTGGCGCCCGTTTTCTCGGCTGCACTGCATGGCGAGTGAAGCAACAGCGCTAATAACACTCACAGCTTCACAGGTGAAGAAGTCTGTACTTACCCAAGGACAACACGGTTGGGTAATAAACGTTATGTACGAACCTTTTATGACATGCAGTATCGGCTCGTCTCTCGCATGAGCTATGCTTTCAGTCGTTTAGCACTCGTTGCGGTGTTCAAACAGGATCATATCTAGTGTTTACTTTCAGACAAAGACTGAAGTCATGGCTCATGCAGCACATGTACTGCTGCTGCACCGCTTCATGCCCATAGACCTGTGGGCTCTGGGTGATCAGTATGTGAAAGATGAGTTCAGGAGACACAAGAGCGCATTGGCTGAAGAGGTCACGCGCTTCATGGCGGAATGGCAGGTAAGACAGAAAGTCACTTGACTGCAGAGAAAACAAAGTGCATGTAAATCACGTAGGTTACAGCAAGGCCGTAGGTCTTCCACTGAATAAATGTTTGATTTCAGAGGCACATTTATTGGTGTTGTGGCCCTAAAACACTTAAGACATAAATCTATAAACTTCTTTAATTACATTTAGTCAGCGACAAGAAGGTGTGCCCTTGTGAAAAAGTACACTTCAGCATACCTTTAAAAAAAAAAAAGAGTAATTATTACAGCGAGATATAATTTAAAAGAAGAATATACTTAAGTGCAAACTGAATGTAATGTTTTTTTTTTTTTTTTGGACAATGAAAATGAATTATAGTTTAAATTGATATAAAATGCAATTAGCTGAACTATTTTTTTTTTCTTGACCCACATAGGTCAAGTGTCCAGCAAGAGTAAAATCTTTACGTGGCAGGGGGAGCTGCCACTCGACCCATCACCACTAAATACCTGATAGCACACGTACATCACGGAGATGTCTATTTGATGTCTGCATTTACATCTGCAAGATGTATTTTTTACAGTGTTTGCTCATCTCCAATACGTCTATAGGACGTTTCCTATCAGATGTCAAATAGACGTTTAGAAAATGTCTTTAAGGTGTTTATGATTTAGACTGTATGTAAAACTGACATCTTAAAGACGTCGATCAGATGTTCGTACACAGCAGATGCTTTCCAGATCAAGCGATCTTTGGCAGACATCTTGCAGATTATATGTGCTATCTGGGAGTTCACCAGTAAATGCGCCTTCCACACGACCCGTCACCGCTATGGCAAATAGATCAATGTCTTTTTGCTCACGTGCATCAATCAGAGTGTAAACAGTCAGAAACAGTCAGTTAATGGTGAGTGTACTGTTTGGCTCCCGCTGGTAGCAGGGGATAGTCGCTGCATTTGGGGTTAAAACGAGGGAATTATTTATTATGTAAGGTGCCAAAGAATAGAAGGAGTCCAGGGTTGCATTGTCGGTTTAGTTCACACGCATCTATTGGCAGCTGCCTTCAGTTGTAGCAGGTTTTGGGCAGCTCCTCCTGCCACGCAAAGATTTGACTCCCTCTCATATTGTGTTTAAAATGTGGTGAAAGTGTACTGCTGAATTGACAAGTAAACTAAAATATACGTTAGTGTAATTTCCTTGCATTAAAGATTTAGGCCTACTTTAATGTCATTTTAATTACACATTTGTAATCTTGAAGTAGCAATTTAGTATATTTTAAGTATAATAAATGTATAAATTAAATGTTAAATGTAATGTTGAATAACGTGCTTTAGTATGTTAGCCAACGCATCAAAATAATTGTGCTTCTTTAAAGCACAGCAAAAGAATATTAAAACATAATGATTTTTAAATGTAAAGTGTGAACATTTAATTTGATATTTATTGCAAAGTGAACATTCACTACAGTTAAGTGCACTTCTTTTTCATAAGAGTGATTTAAGTGTCCAAATTATTTTTGGTAGGGATGCACAAATTTCAAGCAAATAATTATTTTCACATTATGGCCGATTACCAATAGGGAGAGTATTAAAATTGTTTTTACTATTATATGTAAATACATTAAAAGACAAAAAAAAACCACTAAAAACTAAAATCAATCATTTAAAAATAATATTTAATGTAAAAGGTTTGTTAAAGGTTATATTCAACAAGTGTTATTCAATTATTAGTATTTTTAAAGATCTAATATCAACCAATGCTCATGAATAAATAAATAACCAAGTAACCAACCGATATGGTATATATATCATGTATCCGTACATTTACATAATGCTACTATATATCACGATTCTCACACGAACTCACATGTAAATATCCCTTATTTATCTTCATCCTCATCCTAATTAGCATTTTTATCTCGATTAGGTTGCCAGTGCTTTGTGAAAACAAGATGGATATGATTGTGCATGAATTTTAAACAGTGCTGTTAAACGGAATCCATTGCATTGCAAAACAAACTGCTTTTACAAGAGATGTTACCAAATCTCCAGTTCCTTAATGAGTCAGGAAAACTCCTTTGCTGAAACCTTCCACACGATGGCAGCACCTTCCTAAATTCTCCAACAAATTGAAAACTTAATGCAATTTATCCATAACCCATAACTAACAAATCATTTTCTCCCAGGCGGCACGGCTGTATCCAGACACCATCTGTGTACATGAATTACATTTCAATCCAGCATCACCTTTATAAGAGTTCATTCTTTAATTTCAGTTATGTGGGGACAGAATCGTGCCGTTTTTGAGAGCGTGACGCTCGTATGAAATGCTCCATGACAAATCCAAAGATCAAATTCAACGCATGAGCTCCACTTGAACATGCAGCAGCGTGCATTTAAGGAGCAACTTCTTTTACTTTACACCTGGAAATTGGAGATGCTATTTTAACAGTCAAACTTCACAAGATGTATGTCTTTGTGTCCGCAGCACTGACATGAGTGTGGACAAAGCTGACTCTTACTGCATTTTCACAGTCGTGCAGTGTGAGGACTCGATGTTCCTGGATTGGCAAGGACAGTAACAGATATTCTTTAAGAGGGTAAAAACCACACACTTGCAGGTAATGAGAGTCACTCTGTTCTTGTACAGAAGGACATGTACACTTCCTTCCAAAAAAGAGCTACTGACTGTCAGGAAGAAATTCTTTTTTTTTGTTTTTTTTTTTGCAACATTTCAGCTGTCCATGTAGGCAGTTACAGAACAATTACGGCAAACACAGACAATGTAATAAAATACACAAAGTAGACCTTAAAGTGATAGTTCACCCAAAAATATTCACCTCATTATTTACTAGGGTTGGGTACTGAAACCCAGTGCCAACATGGCATATAACCTGTATAACCGGTATGTACTAGAACCGAATCAGAATGCAGATTTCATTGCCTCATTTCAGTGCCACTTAAATGCTTGAGCGATCGATTGAAATATTTGTCCTCTGGTTTTCCGAAACGGACGTAAGGAGCATCATCACCGGCACCGCACATGAAAAATAGTTTCCCGACTAGGAAAATGCACATTAACGCAAGTTGGAAAGCTCTAATAATACAAATCCAACACATCTTTGTTGTAACATTAGTGTCCATGTTGTTTTTTCGCATTCTGACTTAAAAGCATAACTCGGGAAATGAGAGCATCCGAAGAGCGCGTGAATGCAGCAGTTACACTTGCTCTGATGGCAGCAGGTAGCCTACCATTAGCTAGCTAAGCTAAACACGCTTAAATTAAAATGCCTAAAGCCAAACTTCACCTTGTAATGACTTGCAATGAGAAGCGTTTCTAAACCTATTGTCCAACAAAAGAGAACATTATAGCGTTTTTACTCCACAACACCAGTCAAATGCTTCCTTTTGTGACCTGATGTGGCTTCTTATCACAGAATGAGGCAGAAAATATGTTCTATATTGTAAAAAAAAGGATATGTAGATGAAAATACCATGGCTTGGAGAACACAGATAAGCCATATATTGTCGCAGGCGAGTGTTTATTGTCTGTATGTTTCATCATTCAAAACGTTTCTATATTCCTTTTAATCGGCTACAGCGATAGCTGGATGCTTTTGTCCATATTAGGGATTTCCTGGAATGTCATGTGTTCTATTACTTCTGTGACGCATATGTGGAGTTTCTGCGTGAGGGCGCCCTCTGGCGTCTAGGATGAATGAAACAGACATTACATGTGGTTATAGTTCTAATGGCCAATCCATCCTGTTTTGGGTATTTTTTTATTTTAAGTATTGGTTCAGACAGCGTTTAGGCACCGGTACCGTATTAAAAGTATCGATTTGACACGGGTATCGTAAAACCGATACCCAACCCTATTATTCACTTCATGCCATTCTGTTTCTTTTGTTGAAATCAAAATGTCATACAATAGCTTTGTGTGAGGAAAAAAAGACCGCAATTAAAGTTATTGTTCACTGATAATCTTCCTCTCTAATGATTTCGACTGGATCATTGTTTGAGTTAAACTTGAGTACAGATTCATTTAGAGTGGTTTTGTGAACTGGATAACGCAATTCATTGAAAAGATTTGACTCAAAATAACAATTTATTAAAGAATCAGACTTCACTAGTTCTTTCATGAACATGCCAAGGACAACTTCAACTTACATTTTGGTCTTTTTCTTGGCAAAGCTGTCTTATGACTTCAGAAGACCTGGAATGTAGCATTCAGGCCACTTTTAAGATGCATTTATGTTACTACTTTGTCATTTTGACAGACCCATTTGCTGTTTACTTTAATTTTAATGAAAAGAGTCACCATTTGTGTTGAAAAGTCATAGATGAAAAGTCATACAGGTTTGGAACAACATGAGGGTGAGAAAATGATGACAGAATTTGCATTTGTGGTGGAACTCAACTCATAGGTGATTCAAGTAGAGTTTGACATTAGCATGTTATTAAGCTATCAATGTGATACTCTGTATTCATAAAATGACACAAATAATGGGTAAAATAGTCAATAGTCTTTTTTATTAGATTCATTGTTTTGTAAATGAGTT